GTTCTGCAAGCTCTGGCCCCTCTTGCCTCTGTTGAATTGTTTCCAGCAGAGGTGGGAGAAGGGCTGTGGGCCTGCCTGTCCCTCTGCAGCCCCGGGCCCGTGGCCAGGGTGGGAGGCAGCAGCCCAGGACAGCATCCCAGACACTGCCCCTGCCCCAGAGATGATCCACTCTGCAGTGAGCCTCTGCCAGCTCCAAGGGTTCAGGGTGGCAGCTGGCCAGGGATCCAAGTCAAAGAGTTGCCTTTGTTTCATGGGGAGGATTAAACCACGAGCTGTTTGTGAGCTGAACTTTGAAGTGTCTCCTCAGTGATCTGAAACACGATCATGCAACAAAGAGAGAACTCTACCAATACTCTTTTTGTGTTTGAAGTTGGAGACCATCCACTGGTTTATTTTTAGGCATGCATTTGCACTGGCCCTCTTACAATTCTGCCTCTGTTCTTGTGCAGTAAAAGGCAGAGAGGATTCACTTGACCTCCAGTATCAAATACAGAAAAAAATAAGGCATTTGTCTGGAAAAGAACCACCCAAAATAGCAGGGAAGAGGTCATGCTGTGATATGGACTGTTACTGTTGAGAGACAAGAAAATTGAGGAATATAGGAGCTGGCAGACTTCTTCTAATGACACATTAATAAAAACTGCTAGCAAATTATATGGTGATGCTAATTAGTATTTGTAGGTTTAAGGACCTGAGATCTTTCCCTTTTGCACTAAACATGTGCCTGAGAGTAAGAAATAATCCCTGCTGAGGTGAGTTCTTAGTTTTCTTCGAGGATTTGTTCTAGATCTAGAGCATTTCCTTTGCTACACGTGGCTTTAGCTGAGAAACTGCTGCTTCTGCATCAACCAGCTCATGTTCCCTAACCTCCTCACAGCCCCTCCTTGGGCTCTGCAACACCCTGATGTAGACAATTATCACTACATTCATTTGCCCCTCCTTGAAGAAGCTGGGGAAAGAGCCCAGAGGACCCGACTGGATGTTTAATTTCTGTCACATCAGCAGGGCCATCTGCACCAGACAAGAGAACTGACAAGAGAAGGAAGGTTAAAACCTCTCGTGACAGGTTAACAGCATGATTTGCAGCAACAACTTAAATAAATGGTTGCAGACACGGAAGAGTAGCAGGCAGCTAATCCTTTAAAGACTTAAGAGCAGCTACTACTTCAGCCCAAGTAAATATTTCAAAACAAAATTAATTAGTGGTGACTAGTGGATTTGCTGCCCTTTGCTTTAACGGCCCAGGATGAAACGGTGATTCCTCCACAGAGTTTTTGCTTCAGTGCCAAACCTGCTGTTTCACAGGAGCTGAAAGCCCTCTCAAAGAAGATTCATCATAGTTTTGTTCCTCTGTAACTGCAGAGCTGGAAAAGCTCTGCATGAATCTCATAGATCTGTGTTGCTGAGGGAGGGGAGGTCCCTTTGTGCTGCCCCAGGGATGAGGACAACAGCATGGCTCAGAGTCCAGCCCAAGTACAGTGTGGAGGAAGGAAATGTCACTTCCTGATTCTTATCAGAAGAAAGCTCTGTCCATGCAGGCCACAAAGCAGAGCTCCCAGTAATTGCCCTACTTCCCACTAAAAGCAGTTCCTTAATCCCTTTCTAGACATAGGAAAGCAGGCAAGGAAAGGCCTCAGGGAAACAAGTCCTGAACCAGCACAAACCACGGTCTGCCTGAGCCCAGAACAGCAAACGAGTCAATTCAATCCACTGGAAATAAGAATTTCTAATCAACAATTGAGTTCTTCCCCCCAGGACCCTTGGCTCCAGCACAGAACAAAGCCAACTCTCTTGGGAGGCTCTGTCATGGCCTTGCTGGACTGTCTGGGCTATTTTTAATCAAATCCAGCATTCTTAAAAAACCTCAAGCTGCTTTTGTACTCGGGAGGGGGAGAGGAACTGCTGTGCATGTGCACATGCACATTCCACACAGGATGCAGGAGTGGGACACAGCACCTGCCTCGGAGCAGGGCAGCACAGCTGGGTCAGCACAGAGCCTGGGAAAATAGCAAAAATTATTTCTTTTCATCAGGTTGAGAAGGCAGGAAGTGAAGGCAGGACTGGCCGGAGCTGGGAGTGTGTTTGCAGTGGTTGGGAGGCCAGAGACATCCAAGGGCTGGGTGATGTCCCCTACCTGCTGAAGGGATGCAGCTCCTGAGGACAGCACCAGCTGGGAAGGCAGGACCAGCCACGGAGTCCTGGAGGAGGTATCAGGGCAGGGACCTTGAGAAGAGCAGGACAAACAGCCCAAGGGAAGGGCCAGGAGAAGGCTCGAGGCAGGGTTCAGGAAGAGGCAGAGGGGATGAGGAGCAGTTGCATGGATGGGCTGATGTTCAGGACTTTTAAGAAGCAGGCGCGAGGGGGAGGAGTGTGGAGAGCACTCGGAGGAGCTCGTTCGGAGCAGGGCACAGCACAGATCCCTCTCGAAGTTGTGCTGAGTCATTTCTTCCTGCCCTGAGGGTTTTTACGTGGCTTTTGTGCCACAGCAAATCCCTATTTCTGTACGGAGCCTCTCTGTGAAGAGTGATGCTGAATTTGGCTAATTGCAGGTGACAGAAAGCAAACCCAGGCTGGGCTGAGTGCTTCTGCAGAGCCCCAGGGAAGCAGCAGAGATGCTGCTGCTCATTTTGCTGTTTGCTCACACACAGCACTGGGTTTGTGGCTGTATTTATAGCCTGGGGGTCGTAGCTTCACATCCTCTCTGTGTTGTTTCACACAACTTCTACTGAAATGTTCTCAGAACTAAGGTCAGAGCCCTTGCTGCCAAGCCCAGCCTCCTCACACCTTTCCCAAACAGGACAACACCCAGTCAGGCCCTGAGGATGAGGTTAGCAAAAAGTGAGAGGAAATGGAATTCACTGCGGAGAAAATGTGAACAAGGAGTTACAAACTTGAGTTTCCATGGGACCAGTGATGGGTTTTGCTCTTCTCCCCATCCCATGGACTTCCAGCAGCACGTGGAGAATCTCAGAGAGAAGGAGCAGCAGTGATGCCAGAAACATCTATGGCACGAGTCTGGAGAACTGGTGGAGAACTGGCACCTGCTTTCCCAGGATTGGCCTGCAGCTGCTTCCCTGCAGTGGGAATGATGTCACTGGGGAATTAATGTTTGGACTCAGTGATGTTAATTAAAGGTTTCTTAACGATTCTATGTCTCTTTGCATGGATCTGTGTATGGAAATATGCAAAATCCTCTGTGTGAGAGTCATCGTGGCTGGGGAATTTCAGCTAGCGAGGAACTGGGACAGGACGAGGATCCCTTCGGGGCTGTGGCTTCCCCTGGCCTCGAACACAGTCCCCAGGGTGGTGAAACTCCTGAAACTCCTCCCCATCCCTTCACCACTTCCAACCACCTAGAGCACAATTTCTGTCTCTTGTTTCAAGGGTTTATGGCACCATTTGCACAATACTTTGGATAATTCTGGCTTTGTTCACTCAAAAAAAAAAAAAAAAAAAAAAAAGCTTGACTAAAATCTTTGTTTTTCTAACGAATAGACCAGGAGGATTTCTGGGCCACTGCTGATAGCTCAGGCCACAGGACTCCAGAATCACATTTCCAAATATTTCCAGCAACTCCATGGCATTAAATTAGTGAGTAATTAAGTATAACTACACCTTGAAACAGAAATTGAAGAATGGCGTTGAGGACATGCTCATAAACCACAGAAAAGCCTGGAAAAGCCTGCCTGTTCTTTCTCCAGAGCTTCTCTGCATGCTAGCACCCATCAGGCTCTATAAATGCTGACTGCTTTTCCCTGAGACAGCTGCCTTGCCTGGAATGGACGATGCTCCACAAATGGAGCAGTTATTCAGTGTCACCCTCATTCATCAGTGCCTTATTTGTCATTCCAGCCCTGCTTTAGAACCACAAACTCCTTCCCAGGCCTTTCCCATTCCCCTCACCGCTGCAGGGAATCAGTCAGGGCTCCCCAAAACCTGGATGTCCACTTGAAGAATGAAGTCCTCTGGATCCAAGTGGTCGGAATCCCCTTTATCTTTCCTAGAAGTGTTTCTCTTTTTCCCAGTTAGATATAAAAAACCCCTGTGGAGAGGATTTTTGCTTCTGGCCATCCCTCACACAGCCCTGCTTATTTGTCCACTGTGCTGCCTGAGGACTTTGCTTCCGTCAAAGGGAAGTAAATTTATTAATTCCTTTCCTGCAGGAACGCCAGCATGTTTGTAGAGTCACAGAATGCCCCAAGCTGGAAGGAACTCACGAGGATCATCCAAGTCCAGTTTCTTCTCCTGTCCCCTACATTTATCCTGCTTAGGTGACCTCCCCTTCCCAACTTTCTGCATCTTCTCCCTCCCTCTTTGCTTTTTCCATCTAAACTTCCCTTCCACTTCCTCTCCCCAAATAAACCCAGGTTCTTGTCCCCTTAGAGAGGCTGATTCATGGTTTGACGTCAGCAGCTGCTCTCCTGGCCAGAGGCAGCTGGAATTGACACATTCCAGCTGCTGCCAGCAGCAGTGTCCCTTGTCCCCTGTGCCAACCCAGCAGCTGGGCTGGCATCAGGGAGAGAACGTGCCCAGCTGTGCCTCCAGAGGTGGAAAGGGAGATCCTGAATTTAACCAGTTCTTCCTCAGAGTGCAGCCTGGGATTCACACAGAGGAGTTGAGACAAGTGAGGGAAGAGATGCAGGTCAAAAAAAAAAGCTTGGCTCAGGGTTTGGGTTTAATCTGGAGCACAGAAGGAGGAAAAAAGGCAATTCTAGGAGTACCTTCAGAGCAAGGTGTTTGTCCAGCCCTGATTTGTGGACAGCTCCATGGCCTGCTCTGCACTGTCAGTCACTCCTGCCCCCTCCTTCCAGAATGTTCAGCCCACCTGGGGCTCAGGTGACAACTGTGGAGTGCTTTGTGCAGACTGACAGTGCTGGGGCTATTCCAGAGCTGCCCTCTCTCACTCCAGCAGCACCTGAGAGTTGGAGGCAACAGCAGCTAAAGCCCAGGACAGTTTTTAGTGCACTCTGACACCTGTGAAGGTGGGAAAGACAAACTTATTACAGAGAATATAGAACTTTATTCATGTTAAATGCATCCACTTGCATCACTGCTCGTTGTCCAGGACACTGAGACACCCCAGCTCAGGAGACAGCCTCGTTTTACCTCACAGAAGTGGAGCCATCACTCTGTTTTCCCTGAATGACACATCAGCAAAGCTGGCAAAGCAATCCAGAGTTCAGCACAAACTGAGAACACAGAGAACTTCTCTTCACTGGCCTGGGCAGGTCTGCTCAGCAAATTATCTACACAAGGACTAAAGGACTCCAAAAGACAAACAGCTGGAATTCAAGTGTCTCCAATACCCACATTGGCAAGCCCAAGATTTTTGGTATTTAGACACCTGAGTCTGGGTTCCAACCCTTCTCCCAGCATCCATCTTGTTGTTTAAATAACAGGCAAACTCCAACACCAGTCCTTGTGAAGGGTGAGCAGATTTTGCCAAAAGCAACAGTGGCACGGGGAAAGCTCGCTTGGGAAGGATGCGTTTGTGAGGAAATGAGCTTGGTCAGTCTGACAGGGAGCTGTGGAGCAAGTGCACTGTGTGCAAATCACTTCCTGCAAGTGCTGCTTTCCCCCTTTCATCAGACTTTATTTACTCCAGGCAAGCTCAGGACCAGTACTTTGGAAGCATTTCTGATGGACAGAGAGCAAAAGGAGAATTTAACTATGGTCTGTGTGCAAAGGTAACCCAACAATAACCACAATCTCATGGAATGCTAAAGTAAACTCTAGAAAACATTTACAGAAAAAACAAGTATCTGCCGCTGAAACCAGCTCATCTATTTTTGGAAAATTGCAAGGATTGCTTCGCCCAGGAAGAGCTTCCCAGTGAGCAGAATTATGCAACCCTGAGAGGAAAAAATAAATCCCAAGTTCTCTGCAATTCCTTTTGGTCAATGCCGGGCTCCAGCCCCCACCCCCCAAACTGGAAAACCTGCAACACCTCAAGCCCAGGAAGGGACACACATCAGCTGTGCCCTGCCAGCATCCAGGGGAACTACCAGCTCTGACCAACCTAATTAGAGCAGGATTAATTAACGGTTCAGTCGTCGAAGTCGGGGATGTCGTCGTAGGAGTAGCCCCGGTAGCCCTTGGAGGCGTAGTAGGCGATTCGCAGGTGGTAAAAGCCCGGCAGGAACACCAGGATGCCGATGATCAGCACGGGGATGGCCCGGTCGGTCTCCTGCAGGGACAGACAGCCCGGGGCAGTGACACCTGCAGGAGGGGCTCTCCTCCCTCTCACACCCTGCCTGGCCTCGAGGAAGGTGCTCCTGCCCAATGAGGGGATCTGTAAGGTCCTTTGAACCCAAACCATCCCGTGGTTCTGTGATCCATCCCCAAGGCGAGCTGAGTAATAAATTCCATCTTCCATCAGAAATATCTCAGCTGTTGTCAGGCTTAATCCTGTCCTGGCATCTCCTCCTTGCTGCAGGAAGCCCTCAAGGGACCTCGTCCTTCTCCAGGGCCCCCCCCGGACGTGCAGCCAGCGCTGGGAGCTGCGAGCGTGGCCGAGCACGAGCCCAGGGATCTGTGCCTGGAGTGCTGCTGATAGAGCCCAGAGGCTGCTGCTGCCACAGAGATAAGGCAGAGCTGCCAGCCTACCCTGAGCCCACAGCACAGGGAGCAGAGGAGAAGCACCCAGAAGTGCAGGAGCAGATCTCCTTCCCGTGGATCACAACCACAGCCAGATGGGGAAGCACTGCCATGCCCCACACAGGGTCTGGCAGCTCCTCCCTGTCCCTGCACCATCTGCACGGGCTGAGATCCCTCCAGGACAGGGATGTGACCTGCCCAGGGACACTCAGCCCTCCCTGGAGATGGCAGCCCAGCTCTGAGCCTGCTCCAGCCAGGCTGACTGCGCGATCCCAGGGAAAGGGGACTGCCAGCACAGCCAAGCCGTGCTGGCAATCAATTCCCTGCTCACTTCCTGTGGCTCTGAAGTTATACACTGAACACGATCACAGGATCCTTGAGGCTGGAAAAGACCTTCCAGGTCATCAAATCCAACCATGACCCAGCACCACCCCCAGGGTCACCACTAACCCATGTCCTCGAGTGCCACGTCCTCGTGTTCTGAACATCCCCAGGCATAGGGACTCCACCACTGCAGCTGTGCCAGGCCTTTCCCACCCCTTCCAGGACAAACCTTTCCTAATTTTGAATTTAAACCTCCCCTGGTGCAACTTGAGGCTGTTTCCTGTCACCTGATGGCCAGTGAGGGCTCAGGGCAGCTTTGAGGACATGGTAGGACCAGTGACAGAAGTGCCCTGAAGCACTCACCCCTTTGCTGATGTACCCTGCCAGCAGCAGGGCTCCGATGATGATGAGGAAGGTCCCAATCATGAAGAGCACCACAGCCAGTGCAATGGCCTTGTAGGGGATTTTGGGTGGGCTCTTCTTGAACTGGATGGAAAAACCCAAATATTGAGCAGCTGAACTCAGCACAGCTCCCCTCCCAGCGCAGCACAGATGTGACCCCACAGCTGGCACAGGTGACACGGGACAAAGTTCTGCAGCAGCTCTGCTGCCAGGTTCTGTAATGGCCCTTCCAGGAGGAATTCTGCCCATGGGACCCTGCTGATCCAGCCCTTCCTCCCAGTCCTGGAGGAAGGAATGCTCTTTGGGCTTTCCAGAGGGGAAGGGCTGAGGGTTTGGCTCCCACCCGGCTTTGTCCCTCTCTGAGCTGCAGCTGCTCCACCACAGATGCACGAGTAGCAGCTGCCTGTGCAAGGCCAAGCTGTGGCTGCCCATCCTGTGGTTTTACAGTTTCCTTCCCCACTTTTTACCTGCAGGTCAATGTATCCATCATCAGTGCTGGAGAGTTTGGAATATTTGACTTTGCTACTGGGAATCCCAGCAGAGAGGTTGGTCCGCGATGGCATCATTCCAGGGGGGGCTGGGCATCAGCTACAGCCTGCAAACCAGGGGAAGGAGCAGAACCAGGACAGAAACCTGAGTGATGGCAGTCTGAGAGACACAGAACAGGGGTTTCTGAAGAGAAACTCCCATGTCAAGGGCATCTCTGTTCCTCTTAACAAATTAAAACTTTTCCAGTAGAGGATCTAAGCATTTCATTTGAAGCCTAAAATACAAAATGTATACAGCTGCAACAATATTTGGAATCAAGGCAGAACCTGTGCTTCGAACTAGATTGGAATTCCAGGGCAGGGCCCAGGGTCTGACCCAGCTCTCACTCCACAAGGAGTTCCTGCTGCCAGCACGGAGATGTCCAAGCTCTGGATGTTTCTGAATAGGACACCAGCAAATAAACCCAAACAAGAGCTAAACAGAGCGGTTTTTCAACCACCAGGAGATTTCGCAAGAGAGCAATTTTGGGAAAAAAAACAACCAACCAAACAAAAAACCAACCCAAACCACTGGAAACTGGAATGAAATGGAGGTGTCATGGAGACAGCAGGAGTGACTCAGAGGGAGCAGGACAAGGGGACAGAGTGTGAGTGGTGAGGTCACCAAACCCCAGGGACAGCCCAGGGTGTGCAGAGCAGGGTCCCAGTGCCAGGGGGACACTGGGGATAGGGATTAGAGCCAGCTGTTGTCCCTCAGAGCCTTCCCAGGGACCCATCCTGCCAACCTCCCCCTGTCACAGGACTGGGCCGGGCACCTCTCCCAGCAGGACATGGATTCCCAGGGGAGAGGCAGGGAAGGGCTCCTCACACCTCCCAGCCTCAACAGAGTTTTTATTTTCTGAGAAAGTGTGTAACTAAGGGAACAAAAGCAGGTATTCCAGCAGTGCCAACAGGAAGGGATAAAAACGCTGTTTCCACAACACTCTTTAGCATCAGAGGTGATGCATCCACTCAAAATATTGAGTCTTCACTTGAACTGAAGCCCTTTGTCTCCCCGTCACTAATTGCTGGCACATTCCCCATCCAGCTTCGTTCCTCCTGCTGTAATATTGACTTTTATAAAATCCTCTCTGATCCAAAATTCCCACCACTGAACCTTTGGTTTGACCTTTGGGCTTTTGTTTTAGTAGCAAAAACTAAACACGGACACAACATTTTCAGCGCCACGGATAATGGAAACACCCCTCACCTGCAGGGTGGCATTCCCTGCTCCCCACACATCCTTGTTTTTCAGGTCATGACCCAAACACTCCCAGGCTCTCCCACATGCCCGAGGGTAGATGTGCAGGAGAAGAAAAAGCCAGAATAAACCAGCCTTTCTGAAAGGTGCCAGATTTCCTAATTCTGCCCCATTTTGCTCTCTGTTCTTACTCACTGCCCCATTATTTACGAAGCTCTTCAGGGGCTTCTCCAGAATTATTCCCATTTTACACTTGCACAAGCTGCCCTGTCCTTCCTGACTTACCAATAAGAAAGAGGACAAATGTGTATAAAATATTAATATAAAATAATCTCTCAGATCTCAAGTTTAAGGGCCAGGTTCAACTCCACTGAGCTTCACACTGAGCACCACAATGGTTCCAGAGCAGGAACCAGCACAGTGCTATGCTTTTTGGGAGCCAAATAAATAATCGGGGCCTGAGCAGCTTGGCCAAAGCAATTAATGCTGAAATTCCAAATTTCTAATAAGGCACTTGTGCTTTTAACCCCGCGGAGGCGCCAGGGCAGCGCCGAGAAAGCCAAACACGGCAGCTCCGTCCGGAATCCTGAATCCCCCCAAGCACAGCCCCGCATTTCCCCCACGGCAGAGCAGGAGGGGCGGGGATGTCGCTTTGTGAGAGCCGCCACCTCCGGTGGGGACACCGGGGACATCCGGAACAGCGGGTGCCCCGAAATCCACCCGAACCCTCCCCGAGTCCAAACCAAACTCACCCGAAATCCACCTAAATTCACTCAAGCCCACCCGAAATCCACCCAAACCTTCCCCGAACCCACCCCAACCAACCCAAATTCACTCAAATTCACCTGAAAGCCTCCCAAACCACCTTAAATCCACCCTAAACACCCCGAATCCAATCCGAACCCACTCAAACCCTCCCCGAATCCAATCCAAACTCACCTAAACCCACCCCAACTCACCCAAATCCACCCCAACCCACGCCGAACCCACTCGAACGCACCCCGAACCCACCCAAATTCAGGGGAAGCCCCCAGCCCGGCCCGTACCTAAGGCCGGCCCGGCCCATCCCGGCCCCGCCTGTCCTGCCCTTCCTTCCCTTCCCGTCCCCGGGAAGTTGATGCCGCTGACGCCGCTTCCCTTCCAGGTCACGGCCGGGGCCGCCCCAGCCTCGCTCTGCCTCGGCAGTCCCCGGGTCCTTCTGCATCCCGGCGTCGCCGCAGGACGGAAAAAGAGCCCCCAGGTTATTTAAGGCACCCACCGCAGGGACTGCTAAAAAAGCTTTAGGGCGAAAAATCTTCCCTCACGGTGCTGAAGGAACCAGCAAGCCAAGGCAGCTGGAGGATAAATGGGGGAGGGTCTGGAAACACGGGACAGCTCAACAGAGGAGGCTCCTGAACCACAGGAGCAGAAAAGCAGTGTCTAAATGCAGAGTCCTGGAATGGTTTCTGTTGGAAGGGACCTTAAAGCCCATCCGGTGTCACCATGGGCAGGGACACCTCCCACTGTCCCAGGGTGTCCCGTCCGGGCTGGCCCTGGGGACTCTTCCAGCCGGTCCCCAGGAGTGCTGGTCCCAGCAGGAGCCCGGGGCCGGGACAGTGCTGTCCCCAGCCCGGAGCAGGGATTGTCCTGCCCGGGCAGCAGCGGCACGGAGCCGGCGGTTCCGTTCGTGGCCGGCACTGCCATCTGGTGACATCCTCTGTCACGCGCGGGGACAGCGCTCCAGGCGCTTTGTCCCCAGAATTCTCGTGTCCTGCCGACCCGCGGGGAATACAAAGCCTCCCAAAAAATACACTGAACATCGGGCAGTCGCTTAGGGAGGAAAAAGTCTTTACAGGATCTTTAATTCCAACCGTCAGGGCAGCAGCACCACGGTCACCACTAACCCCACATCCAGGGAACAGACTGGCACCTCTTCCACACCTCTGAGTGACCCAAGCTGCAACTGTGAGCCTTGAGAAGGGAATCGGGGCACACCAGCACAGCTTCAAAAGCATCGATCCACCCACCCACATCTAAACACAACAAACTCCGTGAAATTGTATTTTTTATTTCCATTTTCCAAGTTTCAGTCAGAATATCAGCTTCAAAAATAAATGAATTAAGGTCACATAAACTCATGGGATAATAAAACAGCAACCCTAAGCTACAGCTCCACAGGGGAAACTCCAGGGAATATCTTGACCCATTAAATATTGCCCCTCTTCTCCAACACCAGCTGAAAGGAGGAAGAAATTTCACCTTCAGACAGCATCCAAGAGATTGTTGGGAGTACAGGAACAGACTAGAAAAACTCAGCTTTCCTATTTCCAATGATACCAGGATAGCAAAATAGTGACTTCAAAAAAATATTTACAAAGATATCTACAAGACACAGCTACAGTGCTCCCAGGATGCTCCAAGGCTCTGGAATTGCTGCCTCCAGCCTGGAGCAGATCCCCCCCAGTCCTGCTCCAGTTAAGAGCCTTCCTGCTGGTCCTCGATCTTTGGAGCCAGGTAGTACTTGAGGTGTCCCATATCAGCAATCTTGTACTCCACAACTGGGGAAGAGAATGAAAAAAAGGTTCAGAAGGTTCTACATAAAATCCAGCCTCAAGTCTCCAACTGTCCTCAGGCAGAGCCGTGGTACTCACCCAGAGGAACGTCTGCAGACATGCTGAGTGTGACCGTGGGGGACAGGGGCGTGGCTTTGGTGAAGAAGTTCAGGTACCTCAGGGCGAAGGTCAGCTGGACTGGCTCGTTCATCTCTATTGTAACCTGGGGAAGCAGGTTGGGCTCAGGAGAGGCAGCTGCAGCATTCCAGAGCCTGGCACAGCTCAGGCAAAGGCCACCCTTTGTGGTGCTGCCCCCAGCCTGCCCTGCTGCAGCTCCCAGGGTAAGGCTAAACTGGAGGCATTCAAGGACTCCCCTCCGTAAGCCAGAGGGAGACAATGCAGGGTATGACTCAGTGACCTCTGAAGGCCCTTTCCAACCTAAGCTATTCCCCACTCCCCAGGGCAGAGGATTGCTCTGCAGGTGAGCCCTGAGCCACCCCACTCACAGCCTCCTCCTCCTTGTCCACGTTGCTGGTCTGGGACAGTTTGATGTTGCCGTTGCCCAGCTCGCCGTTGGCCGAGAACTTGACGCCATCCTTGGCACAGGAGATGACAACGGCGTCGCCGATGTGGCTCAGGTCCCGGCAGATGCGCGCAAACTCTGCCGAAGGCATCTTCACCACACAGCTGTACTCCTGTTCCTGGGGGGACAGGGACACCCAGTGACACCCTGCCAGCGCTGGGAGCCCACGGGGACACCCACAGTGACACCCTGCCAGCAACAGGCTTGTCCAGCGCTCCAAAAGATGTTGTGTCCCAGAATCCGATGTGAACGTGGCAAACACCCACACCAGTACCACCAGTCACCTGAGTTGTTACTTACTGGGATTCCCAGCTGCTCCACATCGAGATCCATCAGCTTCATCTCATAATCAGAAACCTTCTCCTGGTCTGGAGAAGCAAAGCACAGTTACACGACGTGTTCACAAGTAACAAACTGCCATCCCCCCAGTCCCTCCAAGTAAAACCACCTCAATAATGACAGTAAGGTTTTCCTTTGTTTCCTTAGAGCTGGAACTCTGGGAATGCCCTAACAGCCTTTCACAGGCTGTAAGGGTACAACCAAAGACATCTGTGTGCAGCCTAAAAGTCTTCTTCTTACAAAGAAAGTATTTATCAAATTGATGAAGTTTCAGCCTCCAGACTGTTCCAGGAATCAGGTGTCTCTTCCCACTCCTACAGGATCCATTGCCACTTCCCTCCCTCCTGTATCCCTGTGTTTTATGATGCTGCCTGATCACATCCCAGTAACAAATAAACTCCCAAATCCAACACTCACTCGGTGCCTCGAACACCAGGGCCAAGGTGTCTGCGTTGTCCTCGGCCCGCAGGGTGATGATGTCCTCGTTCCCTGCACATTTCAGGATTTTGGACATGCTGGAGGGGAGAAAAGCAGGTGACTCACAGGGCTGAAAGCTGACAGAGCAGGAGGGGATGTGATATCACAGTTATCAGGCTCTCATTTTAACCCTGTTGGAAAAATGGGTGTATGGGGAGACTCCCCAGCCTCTCTGGCCAATCTCTTCTAATGCTTGGTCACCCATAAAGTTCTTCCACGTCTGCAGGGTGGAACTTTCTGTACATCAGTTCCTGCCTCGTCTTCTTGTCCCACAGCTGGGCCCTTCGGAGCAGAGCCTGGATCCATCCTCTAACCCCTCCCATGGGTATTTACACACAGGGATGAGTTTCCCTCTCTCAGCAGTCTCTTTCGGAGGCTGAAGAGCCTCAGCTCCCTCAGAGATGCTCCAGGCCCCTCATCTTTGTCACCCTCCACTGGACCCGTTTCAGGAGCTCCGTGTCTCTCCTCTCGCGAGGAGCCTAGAGCTGGGCACAGCACTCCAGAATCGCCTCATAGGCCAGAATAGCGGGGCAGGAACGGCCACCTCCCTGATCTGCTGTCACTGATCATCCTGACGCTCTCCAGAATTCTGGAAGGACTTTCTTAACGACAGGACTTTAAAGCTGTCACTCGCTCCCCACAGGAGGGGCCATGGCGGCGGCCCCCGCCAGCGCTGCCTTTTCCCGCCACTTGGCGCCGGCAGTGACGTCACGGCCGCGACGGGCCCCGCGCGCGCCGCGAAAAACGGCGCGAGCCGTGAAGGGAATGGGGGGGAGGGATGGGCTGAGGGGGCTCCGAGCGCCCCCGGGACCCCCCACACCTCCAAAGCCCCGCCTGGCCCCCAGATCTCCCCTCACATCCCCCCTTCCTCGGCAGGCCCCGCTCCTCTCAGCGCCACAGCTCCCGGGCCTGCTCGGCCGCGCCACGCCAGCGCCCGATGAGACCCCGCCGCCGCCTGACCTGGCCAGGTTGACGCCCATGGCGATGTTGCGGTCGCAGCGGTACGTGTCGAAACCCTCCGATCGCAGCGTGAGCTGCACCAGCGAGACGTGTGAGGAGTCCATGCTCTGCAGGCTGATGCCGCCCGAGCCCAGGTCCCAGCAGGCCTCGGTGATGAGGTCCTTGAGGGCCTCCAGCACCCGCTTGAGCACCGAGCCTTGCACTAGCCGCGCCTCGAACATCTTGGCAGCACCAGCGGGAGACCACAAACTAAAGCGAACGGCGGCGAAACTGAAAATCAAGCGAGGCGGCCGGCCAAGCCCCTTTTATGCACTCTGCCGCCCCGCCCTTCGGGGCGTATCAGCCAATCACCAGCGCCGCTCTCCTTCAGCCCAACCCCCTCCAAACTCACACGCAGTTCCCCGCTGCTCTCCGGCCAATCCTAGCACCGCTCCTCCCCTTAGTCCCGCCCCCTCATTCGGCGGGAGCCAATCAGTGCGTGGGTTAACACGGGCCCGCGTCCCGCCTTGCTGCGCAGCGATGGTGGCAGGGCCGCACACAGCACCTGTCCGTACGGCGCGCCTCTCCTCAGGCACGGCGTCCTGAGCGAAAACCAGCCATAACTCAAATCCGTTCGTCCCTTAGGACAAATCCTTCACTCTTCTCCCACCGCCCGGGGACCTTCCCGCGCGCTCGCTCGCCCCCTCCTTCAGCAGCGCACTCGCGCCACCCATCATGGCGCCCCGCACCATCCGGGTACACCTGGGCGCGGCCATGCCTCGGCCTAGGCCCTGCCCCCTTTGCCTGTCCCGCGCCGCCCATTGGTCAGTGGCGGTTTCTCTGGTGCCGCGTCGCCCTCTGGCGGCAGCGGCGCGGGCGCGGCGGACGCGGGTCCGGTATGAGCGAGGCGCGGCTGCGGGCCGGGCGCGGTCCCGGCGGGGCGCGGGACCCCCAGGACAAGGTGCGGAGCGGCTCTGGGGGGCGTGACGGGTCTGGGGGCACGGGGGGAACGGGGGGAACCGGGGAGCGCCGGGGGATGCGAGGCCTGTGCGCCGCGGGGTCCCGCCGCCCCGCACTGAGGCCGCTCTGCGGCCCCCGGGCTGCCCCGCGCTCGGGAAATTTGCCCCGCTCTCACTTTATTCGGCCCTGGAGGAGCAGATTCCACCCCCGGGGGTGTTCGGAGGAGCGGCCCCGGAGCGCGGAGATCGGGGCGGGAGCTGCGTTTGTGGGATGGCTCAGGTGGGGTCACGAACCTTCCCTCGGGGCAGAGCGCGGTGCCGCCCAGGCCATCCCCAGGGAGTGAGGTGGGGATTCCAAACCTGCCTTTAGGGAAGGCTTTGGTACCTCCTAAATCATCCCTAGGGAATGACATGGGGCTTACAAACCTGCCTTTAGGGAAAGCTTTGGTACCTCCTAAACCATCTTTAGAGAAGGAGATAGGGGTTCCAAACCCCTCAGGTACCCTTAGGAATGCCTTTGGTATCTCCTAAAGCATCCTTAGGGAAGGATCTGGGGGTTCCAAACCTCTCAGATTCCCTTAGGGAAGGGTTTGGTGCCTCCTAATTCATGCCCAGGGAATGCCCTCCCTGCGAGGGCTCTGTGGGAGTTCCATGAGGGTTGACATTGCATTTCTCCAAAGGAAAGAGTTTCCTTTTCACGGCAGAAAGCAAACCTGGCTTTGTTTTCCTGTGATGTCTCTCCTATTCCAGCCCCGAGCCAGGCTGGATGCTCACGGTCATTTGTCACCTTTGTCATCTCTGCTCCTGCGCCTCCCCAAAGAGGAAGGCACCAAGAGGAATAAACAGCCAGGGAAAACTTTGTAAATAACATTTGCAGCGTCACAGAGAGCAAAAACTGGAGGGAAGAGCAGTTCTTGCTGTGCTGGTGTTTAGTGCACTTACCTTGGGACTGGTCCATCAGCCCTCAGCAGCATCATATTGATGTTTTCTCCATTAGTGCACAAAGGGTGCAGCTCAGGGCAGCACGAAATCATCAGATTGAACTCTTCTGCAATTTAAATGCCATTTAAATGCAATTTTAATGGGATTTTAATGTCAGTTAAACACCTGCTGGAGACTGTGTGGGCAGGTTGGAGGAAACTTCCTGGTGCTGCTGTGATTAGGGAGGGATCTGGGACAGCAGGAGCCAGCAGTGGTGGGAATGGGTCACTGTGGGTCTGGAGGCTATGCCTATCTCACTGGAGCTCTCTGACACGGAGGGAAGGAGCTCTAAGATGGCTCCAGTTCTGTGGTGATTGTGCACAGGGTGAGACCTTGAGGTGGGTTCACCTCAGCTGGAATTTATTCTGCAGCAGAAAACCTTCAGGGAGTTTGATATTCCAGAAGTGTGGTGGGAGTTGGAAGACTGGCAGGGCTAGTGCTGCTTAACTAGTGCACAACAAAAAAACTCACTGGGCCAAGCTGGGATTCGCTTTAGCTCCTCGTGCTGTGCCCCTAAAGAAGGTCAGAGGGCAATCCTGTTATCTCCACGCTGGTGTTTTCATGTACAGTGAGCCTTCTGAGAGACTCCTCTGGTATTTCCTTCGAGCTGCTCACCTGGAGTGTCCTTACTAGAGAGAGAGAATTTTGATGTTGTGCTGCTCCTCGTAAAACAGCTCGGAATGAATTGCAGGAGGGAAAAAAAATAGGAGTGAAATGTTCCCAAGTAGTGAGGAACAGCTCCTCCAAGGTGCTGAATGTGATGTTTCATAATAGAAGGCAGCGATAGGAGCAGAGAATTTCCCAAAATTGCTAATTGTAGCTGCTGGGAGGTTAGCTGGTAACTAATCCTCAGTGAAACCCTCGGTGCTGTGCTGTCCTCGCTCAGTGGCAGGGTTTGATTTCCTGCCCTGAGACCCAGCAGTTGTGGTTTTAGTGCTGGAAAAGCCTGGGAGCAGCAGGAGCACTCCTGGGTGCTGTTCCTGGTGGTGTGGGGCTGCTCGGGGAGGGGACATTCCCATTCCTGCTTTGTCACACTTGGAGCCTTGCCAAGGGGAGTAATTCAGTATATTTTATGTGACAGAAACCCTGGAGGCTTCTGGAAAGAGCTCTGTGTTGGCAGAAATGCCTTACAATGGGATGTAAACATCAAGATCCTGGTGTTTTGTGCTCGTTGCCACTTTTCTGTTTTGGCAAAGGAGAGTTATCTTGGTGGATCTGGGAGCTTCTTCCCGAGCTCCCTCTTGCTGCCCCAGCGGTCTGTCCTCACTCCTGGTTGTTTATTGTTATTATTTATAGTAAGATCAGGATGGCAGAGGGGGTGGGCGATGTTCCTGCTGTCCTCTGTTGCAGGCTGAGGCACTCAGAATGTTCTGTACATGGAACAATTCCGTGCTCTTGCTTCCAAATGTGCTGTCAGTGGTGTCAATGGATGGAGGGTGCTGGGAAGAGGGAATTTGGGATGTTTCCAAGCAGGAAAAATCCCCAGGACCCCTGGAGGTAAAACCTTTAAAATCACAGAATCCCAGACTGGTTTGTGCTGGGAGGGAACTTAAAGCCTGCTGTGGGATGGGGTTCCATCCAGCCTGGGCTTGCTGGCACCTGAGACTTCAGGAAAGCACAGATTTGGGTTTGGCAGGCTCACATCTAAACACAGTGGTCCGAGTCCACTCCTTGGTTAGTCCAAATAAACTGGACTGGCAGAGAAATGTGAACAAGACAGTGCAAGGCACCACCTTAGAGTGAGCAAATTAAACAGACTGGTAAGGTTTTTTTTTCCTCATTACGTTTTGGAAAAATCTGTACAAACTCCCGAGGAATTGAGGGTCAGAAGGCACCGGCCTTGGCGTGATGCAGGCTCTCAAATCAGAGGACAAAAATAGCCTTTTCCTGCAGGAACCTCCCAGGGTGAGCAGTTGCTGCAGAGCTGTTTGTTCTCCCTGGCTCTCCCAAACAACAGCAGATTGAAATGTCTGTGCAGGCTCCAGCAGACACAGTTCCAGCCTCCCTCAGGCACCCAGAGGCTCTTGCTCTCCTGTTTCTGTGTCTCTGCAGGGGAGTGCCAGCTCAGAAATGCCACTCAGACCCAGGAGAACCCAGCAGCCTCTCCCCAAAACATTTCCATCACGTGCTCAGAGGGGAGGCAGGTTCCTTTCTGAGCAGCAGGAAATTCTGGGGGAATGCCAGAACCACCCACCGAGTTTTGTGCTCCTTTTGTGCCCATGAGCTGGTGCCAGGTGCCTTCCTTGATTTCCTGGAAGCAGCAGCCCCTGGAGTGAGTGCTGGGGGTCCCAGCAGAGGGGGAGCTCCTGCTGAGTTCCAGGGA